GAGACGTGGTCGATCCTGACAAGCAAACATTCGTGCATCAGGCCTGGAGTGCTTTAGCTTCGGTACACAACATGGTGACGACCTGCCCCAACAGACCGGTCAGGGCAGGGGTTAGGCTGGTCAGGGTGTGCCAACGGGCTAATGCCGAGCACAAGAACTGCGTAAATGCTCGAGTCTTTGCCGTCTTCAACCCAGACCGTACCGTCTTCTCGTGTTGCCGTTTCTCTTGGCTGGAGCGGTCGCCGGTGACGATGGAAGCCCCCGCGGTTGAAGGCAGACGTGGAAGGAGGAAGGCAGGCCTAGCTTCCCCCGCCCGCCTGGTACCTAAGGTACCTTACCTGGTTGGGTTCCAGGTTGGTGACGGACGGGAAGCACAGACGGCGGAGTGGATACCGCTAGCAGGGTCCGCCAATCTAAGGTCCATAGATTCAGTGGTAGGCTCCCCTGCACCAGGATGGTTCCTTCCAGGGGACGGAGGCCACCAAACGAGGAGGTCCGACAGGGATCTTCCAGTACACCTCCGACCGTTCCTGCTCATCCATCATCTCAGCCTGCTCACAGTCCACCCGTCTCAGCATTTCCCGTCGTTTCCTGTCAGTTTGGAGGGAAAGAAATTGCCTGATGATTGCCCGAACAATCCGGTTCTATTCTTCACCGCCTACTCCCGACTCCAGGCCTCCTGGCTATCACTATCTTCGACAGGACACGCCACCGACCATCCTCAAGTCGCACACCCTCACGATTCTTCCCGAAAATTACCAGTGTCTCCAACGCATATTTTTTCCCTCCTCTCTCAACCGACCGACTCTTCACGCTAGTTGCATTCTTCCGTCTGGTATACGCCTCCATCCCACCCCTCCCCTGTCACCTCTTGACATTGTGTTGATTGCCGTCCAGGCTGCCTCATTTTTGACTCCCGGCATCCGAGGACCTGCTCACCTCCACCGCGCTATCCCCATCCTCGACAAGCTGCTCGGCAAGCGACTTCCTGTCCAGCCACTTCATCGCCCACATCAGGCCGGCCATCAAAACGACAACCACACACATGGTGATTCCGCCCTTCCGCCAGTACGGCGCCTCGTTCGCAGGGTACAGCGCGATGCCCCAGAAAGTGTACAAAGTGCTCTGGATGGCGTTCAGCCAGTACAGCAGCACGCTTCGGGCCGCCTCGTCGCCGCTCCTCTTCAGGATGATGTTGGCCCAGCCGAACAACAACGGGTTGACCATATAGCTCGTGCCTGCCAGGTAGTACGCGAAAAAGGTTGCCGCATCCGGAATCGTGGGGATGAGGATAAGCACCGCAGAGATCAACTGCAGCCCGCACGCCAAGAACCCGATGGGCAGCCGGTGACCCGTTGAATCCATGTAGATGGCGGCACCGATGTTGGACACAATGGCGACCGCCTGTACGCCCAGCGGGTACGTTGTGATCTGGGAGCTTGTGTAGCGGTCGCTGTGGAACTTCATCCAAAGAAGGAAAAGCGATTGCACACAAAAGGCCTCGAGCGCGCCAGTAACAATCGAAAATACTCCGAGGACGTAACTGGTCTTGTCAGCAGAGGCGCAAGCGAGCAAGGAAGGAGGGTGGCGTACAAGTATGGTTTGCCGAGAATACGCTTGGCCAGCGATAAGGGCGAGACGTTATGCGCATCCTCCCTCTTGGGCGGCAGGCGCTTGATGGCCAGCTTGATGTCGTCTTCTTTGAGACTGAACAGGTGTGCCTTCGTCTGTTCGGGAATGTCTGGGAAACAGACGAAGCCTGCAGCGGCAACCGGCAGGGTAATGATACCGTCTATCACCCGTTTAGTACCCAGCCTGGCTAACAGAAAGCAGATATCGCCGGGGATACCGCCCGACTTACCGATAAGGAACACCCATTTCCATCCTGGCAGCCCTCCGTATCCGTTCATGCTCTTGTGCACAGCAGTCATCATGACGCCGGCAAACATACTGCCTGCCTGGCCGACAGCGGTGAAAATGGCGGTTCGCTTTGCAATCTCCAATGGCTTGCTAGATTTTGTCCATTCAGCATACGGCCCCATCCATGCAGTTTGGGTGGAGACACTTACTACCATGACCCCATGATGTACATTGTCCCGCAGTATGTGCTTGCCTCTGCCATACCCTGGAAGAAGCGCACAACACACATCTGCTCATACGTCTTGCAGGCTGCAGTGCACATGGTCAAGCCAGCCCAAAGCAGGACCATCGACGGGAGCCAAATGCGGGGCGCGATCTTTTGGATGGCGATACCGTGTGGAATCTGGGCAAGGACATATCTAACGGCTCGTCAGCAACATGGTGGCAGCATGTTGGGTGGCACTACGAACCCGGCAGTCATCATTGACAGCAAGACATTGTACTGTGACCCGTGAAGTCCGATATCTTCCTTCAAACCGGCGACCTGATGATGGTGAGGAAATCTCCCGTTGACGGCGAGCAAATACGTACGTATGCATTGGCAAAGGCAGCGCGATCTGGTCATTCATAAGCTAATTGAATCAAAGAAACAATCATGTTCTTCTTACCAAGGTAGTTGACGAAGTAGCTGAAACAGCAGTACGTCTATCTTGGGTCAGCTCCGTTGCGTTTGACGCCATCGCCAATGTGGAGACATACCAACACAAAAAGGTCTGCAAGTCACGGAACCCGGTCCTTGTCAGCATATGCAAAACATCAAAAGACGGGAGGAACCATTACCCAGTTTCCGCACCAGTCGCCTCTCCTCTTTGGACTTTGCGTCTTCCCCAAGAACCATTACTATCGCATGTTAGATTACAAACATGAAGCACGGCAGGTCAATCACCTTTGACCTGGTAGGTCCATTTGGACGATTCGGTCTCCATCTTGCCGTCTGAAAAAAAGAACGAGACAGAGCTCGCGGAAACAAACAAACAATTACGCGCTTCACGTAAGAACGGCTGAACGGCACCGAAGGGCCAGACGGGAACGAACTTCTCTTTAAGGGTCCTGCTTGCAATTGCGCACCCGGATGGCATCTGGTCTATTTTGCTCGCTGTTTATCCCGCTTGCAATAAAATACAATTCATCGGTCGGTACAAGCGATGCGGGGCTCTTGCGAATCGACGCCAATTGAAGAACACCAATAGTAAGCTGAGAGGAGAAAAATTGGAGCTTTGATGGGCCGGTTTGTATTGGCGAGCGACGGTACTTCCGGACTGTTGCAGAACTGAGCAAGTTTTTTGTCAGTCGCCTACGGCGATAACCTTATCTCTTGGCCCCGCCGCCGGCCAGAAGCCTCAACGGGGCCGTTTGAGAGCGTTGCACCGTCTTCCATTGTCCGCCGGCGTGGAGATGCAGTCGGAGGCGGCAGCGGTAGCGGCAGCGGCAGCGGGAGCTTAAGTTGTCGCAACCTGGAACCTGTCCGGCAGCCCTACGGCCAGCAGCTGGAATCAAGGACTGACTGGGTTCTTGCTGATCCTGGTTTCCCAAGCAGAACACCACCGCTGTTTCAAGTCTGCCTCGCTGATGTCCTGGGTAGCTAAAACCTCGTATTCCCAAACGTCAAGCCACGTCCGTCGTGATCTTGTCATCATCACCGCCCTTGATCTGCGAGTTCCTCAGGCTCACATCCTGTTCCGCTCACCGACCGGTGCCTTCGCTAATTGCACCTGTCTATCGCCCTATGAGGACATTGCCAAGATTGGGTCCATTGGCCTATGAGGTGCGCCTCCGACGCACGACATCGGTAGCTTGGGGGTTGGAAACAAGTGGCTTCAATTTGAGAAACCGCCTCTTGTGTTCTCGAAGTCGTATCAGGCTGTTCGCCGCATGTTTTGCCTCCAGACGCATTCCACTGGAATGCAGCAGCGACATCGGCCGACCAACCTGGCTGACGCTCCTTCCCGCTAACGAACCGCAAGCGTCGAGGAACCGAACAGATGGAAACATACTGCCGGGTTTTCCAGCTGCCCAGCTCCTCTGCAGATCCAGACCAGATTCTCGAGACAAGAAGAAACGAAAGTGCAGCAAATTTTTCAGTCTTCATGTACCCCGCGCGGCTTCCTCTTCTCCTCTCGGGGCCTAGTGCATCTCGACGCCCGCAGAGGAGAAGATCTGGGGAAATTCGTGCAATAATGCCGAGTTGAAAAATTTTCTTCAAGTCTTGTGGAAGTCAGAGCCTCCTCGCTGAGCATGTCTTACGTATTTGGTTCCTGATGTACCTCACCTTGGCCTGCCAGCTCACTCGCTGACGGCCCAGAAGCCAGCTGAACGCCCGTATAGAGAGCTCCCCACACCACCACCCTATTTCCACCTTGTCATGACGGAGATGCAAAATGGCGGGAAAAGGGTGTGTGTGCCTTGCATTACCATGCATCTGATGAACCTTTTCGCCGCCCAACTAATCGCCCCGTTTTGTGTTTCTGTTCCTGTCTTGAGGCCATGTATTATTTTGGTCTGCCCGTTTTTCTGCACGCGAAATGAGTGCATACCGCCGTGGTCAAATCAGAGGCACAGGAGACAATCATGAGGCCGAGCATCCTCAAGGAAAATACTTTTTTTTTTTTTTTTTTTTTTTTGGTCTTGAGTTATCATTGTCAACACTGCGACCGCTTGGTACCTATCAGCCGGCATCTACCTTCCTGTCAACCCTCGCGGACGATTAGAGAGGTACCTTGCGTTGACGATGTTCGTCCCAATCCCACGCCCAACCTTACTCCCACGCCCACCCGCTCTTCCTTCACCGCACAACATGGTCCAAGGCGTCCAAAATGGTTCGCCCTTTTTGATTCTCTTCATCTGGTTCTTCCACCCCTTTGATACTTAAATCGGACCGCTGTCGCCATGGACTGCTGAACGATGCCCTCACCCCTCGCCCTTTTTTCATCAAAGTCGATTCACCTTCCCTTGTTTTTCTGCACCTTCAATCCCCGTCGTGTCAATATTGTTTAAGTACACAAGCTGGTCTTGCATCCCGTCATTGGACTACCTTGCCAACTCCCTTCATCGTTCTTCCAAGATACCCAAGTTTAGCAGTCATGTCATCTCAGACTTCTTCAATGGTTGTTGAATCTGGCAGTCAGTAAGTGACTCTGATATCCCCGTCTTGTCTTGCTTGCATGTTGACTGACACGGAACAGGACCGGTGCAGCGTCTGAACAAGCCTCGAACAATCAAGCGACCTCGAACGATCAAGCGGCCTCTCGGCAGGCTCGCTTCGATATGTTCATGAACGATAACGACAACCAGTACACACGCCTCGAGTCCAACAGACCAGTCGAAGACAAGCCCGTCCAAAAAGCCCCCCGAACCCAATAGGCCCGAACCATCACACCCTGTCGGCCCTCATGCCTCACCGGTGCGCCACCAGCCATGTACAACACCTTTGCCAACCTACCTTTCAACTTTTACCTTCCACCGGCCACTTCTTCGAATACCAAGACGGCCAACGCATTTGACGGAGCGAGTAATGTGCGAGGGACGATGATTTATGGAAGAGCCTGTACTATTGCTACTTAGCTCGTGCAGCTGGGCCTGCATGATTAACAAAATAAGGACCAGTTTCTATGTCATTTACGGTTACTTGCTGTGCGATCGCAGCGGTGACCACCCGAGACTGCCGAGCTACGTACTAGATCTGTGCAAGGGGGATGTGCGCCCAACCATCGCAACCCCCATCTTCTCCAACCTAGGACCCCAGCGTCTCCGGTCCTTCTCCAAAACCCCAGGGAAAGTCCTGGATCCTCGGCAGCCCAAGTGAACGGCCGCCTCCCACGGCTTCGTCACCTCCTCGGTCGGTTCCCTTCCTCAGAACTTCGTATATCCAGAAGGATACGCAACATCACTTCGCGCTTCGAGGCGACTAGTCCGCTTGGCTGAGGTGACGCAGGTCCACGACAGCACGTATCCAGCGCACGCGCGTCTTGACAGCTGCCAAGAGGCACCCCGGGTGATTGGTTTCCGTAAACGCGGGACAAAGTATGGAGCACGAGCGGCCCCAGGTAATCCACCGAGCATGCCCGCCACAGAAGGTTTTTTTTTCCCCTCCCTTTTTAGCGGCCGGATCCTGCTGACTGGAGAAACCTGCCAGACCCGGGGATGAGGCCAGACTCAGACCATGGCCCTGTCGGTTCTGGGCTACTTCCACGTCCCCTCCCCCCTTGTCTTGGACCCCCACCATGAAAGACCGACAATGGACTCGGAATGGTGCAAAGAGTTCGGGGATTAATATGCTCTGTAACGTAGGCGGCCCCAGTTGTCCCACAGGAGGCCCCTGGATAGCGTCATCAGGTGGATCCTGGGGAATCGGGACATGCCTGGTAGGGCTGGACCGATCAAGGCCCGATTGTGGTCGGAAGAACGTTTTGTATGGTTGAGAGACGTGGGATTCAGCCAAAGAATGGAAGAGTTTGCTGAGCCGTTCATGCGCGAATGGGTTGATTGTTCATCTTTGGCTGGCCGCGATGGGCCGCAGTTGATCCCAACCCAATCGTTCCCCCGCTGCAGGGATTCTGAATTCATCCGTCTCACCCATGTTCTCAGAACGCAGCGACCGAAGCACAAGGACCCCGGTGGGTAATTCACACAACGGCTAAAGACCGCATGTCTTGTGTATTGTGTCAACATGGTACGATATCGCGGCACAGAAGTAACGTTGGGCATGCATTTTCTTGGCTGATCCTTTAGTCTCTGTGGAGGCTCGTTGGCGGGTGTGTCCGTGGCACCGCACAGACGTTGAGCTTCCCGGTTCCGGCGCATGCGGTGATCGGATGACGGGTTGGTTTGACTACCTACACTAGGTTGAATACAGTTTGGTGAGAGTTTCGAGAGGTTTGAGACGGTGCGATTCTTATTTCGACAGCAGGTCGGTGGAGTCGCCGTTTGCCCGGGAACTCTCCTCTTCTAGGGCCACTACCCATCCGAGGGCCGTTGCATCTTGGGACCAGCAGTCTCATCTCGGATCTCGAGATGAATCGATGCATCCCTAGATACGGATTTGAGAGTGCCTTGCGGGTAAGGATGACATCTGTCACATGACGAGAGACGACGGTACTTTGATCGGAAGGCGCGCCAACATGGCAGCGCCGTAAGACGCCCAGCGCCACATGCAAGCCGCACGAAGAGGACCACAATTCCTGCCGTATCGATGCGCTTGCTATAGAGGTCTCATTGACCCATAGGCAACTGCAAGCTCGAAGCCACTGCATCTCTGCACTGCATCTCAATCGAGTGAGCATCTCCGTCAAGAGCTTCCGTCACATCAGTCGGTTGAGGATACTTTCAACAAACATCGATCCAACACTAAAAAAACCTCCAAACAATTCAATTCGATAAAACAGCGCTATCAAAACCTCTCTTACTTCATGCGATCCATATGCGGCAGCCACGTAGGACATATACTGCTGCTGCAAGTGCAGTCTGTACCAAGAAGGCAGGCCCCAGACTGCTCTTGCCGCATGTACGTGCAACTGCATGTTACGAGAAAGCCGTGACTTCCTTCAATCCTCGCGGACATTTCTTTCAAATCAATCGCTGATCCCAAAACGCAGTCAAACTCCTCGCTGTACCGGCCATTGTTCTACCTCCATGTCCGTACGCCACGACCGAATCGAGCATCTGCCCATCGTCATGACGTTCACCGCCAATCAAGTTTATCTTGAACCAAGGCGGCGATCGGCGTCACAGGTTGTCTCCCAAGCACGATCTTTGTACGCCTTCGTTCTGTCTTTGGCCTTGCTGTCATTGGGGATCCGCTCGTAGAGGCTGCCCTCTTCCGCGAGGTAGTCGTCTACCCGGGACTTTGATTCCTTTGCACGAGCCGTCTTGGACCTGAAAGCAGTATCAGACATCTGTCGGTGATGCTTCATCAGGACGAAGGGAGCTTACTTCTTGTTGGAAGAGCCATGAGAAGCCCCCGAGACCTGAGACGTCGGCATGTTGGAGCAGGCGAGACTCTGTACGTGGAGTGGAAGGCAGAACACCGCAAGTTGAAGGTCGCTGATACAATAGAGCAGGGTAGAGGCAAGGTCGCGATTGTCTGCGCGTTGAAAGAAAACGGAGGGAGCCCAGCGATGAGAGCATCCGGGACCGACGGCTATACTTATGTGGGCAGCTATCCCCCCCAAACACCAAGACCATCATCGTGTCCTCGAAAGCAATCTCGGCCGGCATTCCCAAATCGGGCGGAGGGTAGTCGCACGAAAGTGCCATGGCCTCAAGTCAAAGTAAGGAGGTGCAGCCTCAGAGATCAGCAACAGGCATGGCCTCGAGGGAATATGCCGGCAACCTTCCCATTGGTCGCGGGCCGAGGCAACGACACGCAACTGCAATATCGTTCGAGAACATACATGGGGAAGCATGTTCAAGACTCCGGAGCCCACGCAGGCAAATAAGACGGGGTCTCCAGCTCACCGGCAATGTGGCTTCGTGGCCGGTAGAGTCCGTGGTTGGGCGCTTGGAACAGCTGTTTCTCGCTTTGCTATAGACACGCGCCCATCACCAATTGGGCAAATGCGAAGCACTTGCACTCGAACTCCCCTTCGCCGGCAGGCTTCCACGTGCTTGGCCACGAACTCGCGGAGAGCATCCCCGCCTATCATTTGCGACTTGCATCCATCCATTAAGCTTTCCGGAACTGCTCCCCGGCTGCCAACGGAGCACTTGACGGGTGACCGGGTCGACTTTTCTCAAGGGGAAAAAGCAAAGAGCTGTGCTAGGGTATTTCCCATCGACCCTGGACGGCTTGACTGAGGCGCCAACACCAAAGGGACGGGCCTGCCCGGTGCCTCGGGAGGAGGCCACCCTTGGGTCTTTGAGGCCATGGAGCCGTCGCCACCAAGGCTCTTTCCGGTAATGTGGGCGAGCGCCGAGCGCCGCCGAGCGGTGAGATAAGATGGTTGGTAGGATCCGGGTGCTGCAGGCTGTCATCCGCGGGGTGTGGGTGGACCCCTCATTGGCAGCCAGTCTGCCCATTTGAGGCCAGGGGCAAAACCGCATTCTGTCCTCGACAATATTATTGTCCATGTTGAACGTTGAGGCCATGCCTCCATTTATCGACGTCATGGGAGCCTCTCATTTGCCACGTCAGGATACCACACCATTGAGCGCTGGAGCGACAGCGATGCTGGCCGAGAGAAGCCGGGGCCGAGAGATACCCATGACCACCCCTGCCCCTTATCTGATGGCGTGTTCGTTTGCTTCCTCAAAGGTAGGAAAGCCGGTGGTACAGGCGCGGGCTCGCGCCGTATTCTCCGCGTGCGACCCGATAGAATTTATGGCATCCCCACGCGTCGCGCGCATCGAGGCATTCGGTTGGTGCGACCGCGGGCCTCAGGGATCTCCGCAGGCTGTCAGCTGGAAATAACACTTACACGGATATCGTAGGTTGAAGTCCATTTTAACATTTTTAGGCTCCGTCTACCCGTTTCCATCATAGCGCACGTCATTGATGGCCTTATCGGGGGTCATCCCTCCAACTTGAGATGACACATGACATGTCCATCCGCCCTGAAACGATTGAGCCCCCCCGCCGTTTGCCATTTCACTGCCGGGCGCCTCGGTGAAGAGGCGTTTTCTGCCGACGTGACACAGACACCACCATGTCACACTCGGTGAATGGGCAACCAGATCGCGCGCTCTGGGGATCTGCGCTTGACGGTGTCCTGCTCACCGTGGAGGCCCGTCCGGATGCGGTCTCAAAGGCCCGACCTGCATGAAAGCCGATGGACTCATCTCGGTTTATCATTTTTCATATCGCATCATGACTTCTCACGGGTAGCTTCGCATTTCGATCGATAGTCTGCGAGGCGCAGGCAGGTTTTGCCGGGGTCTGCGCCGGAATCATGGCAAGTATTCCCCCTGACAGCTCGCAGGATGACTGCACCAGAGGTGGGAGCAATGTTTGCTTCTTCAATTTCTGACGCCATTTCGACCATCGACGCTGGATGTGTCTCTGAGCGACTGGAATGGACTGCTAAGCTGCCGGTGTGTTTCGATTATGCTCTCGGTGAAGACTGATGGGCTCTATTGGGACTGGTGCAGATGGCGCGCTGTTGATGCCAGCCCAATGATGCTTTTCCCGAGAACAAACTCCCTTCTTGGCCCTCGACAGGAAAGACGATGGCCACAGAGTCGCATCCGGGGCCGTATCCGACATCCGGAACATGCCTTCCCCCAGCCTTTGTGCAGGGATCCGCATTGGGGGCCAACTCGGTGTGCATGGGAGACTCGGTCTCGAGCAATCTTCAATCGTCTGCCGGCGCAGCAGCGTCGCTTTCCGCTATTCTTGATCCTGGCTCAGCATCTTCGAAAAACGGTCTCGGAAGACGAGGCGGGTGGAAGGTGATAAAAACATTGAAAACCATCTCACGATAAATGAGAGCAAATGTGATCTCGAAGAACAGGTAATAATGCTGGTTTCATCTATTGGGCAAGTTTCTACTCCTACCCAGTCCGCAGGGGATCATTCCAATCTATTGCCAATCACAGATACCAAGGACTCAACATGGCTTCTACTCCTCCCATTGTCGCCGATATCATTTCTTCGACCGCCTTTTTCGAAAGTTCAATGCGACGGCACACTGCGCTTCAGTCTTTCAGCCTCGAGCCGCTTCTTCCCGACGCGTCAATCTGACCTCACTATTGCTGTCCCCCTCCACTCAGGTATCTTGTCAGGCCTAATCAGGTTTGCAATATACTTCAAATCATACTAATCAACCATCTTGGAGCTGTGCTGCTCGCACCACTCCTTCAGAATTTGCTTCCGAATACGCGGAATCTGGCCCCTATTTCGCTCAAGGTACATGCCAACGCGCTCTCAGGAAGAGCGGCGGGGCGCGAGAACTATCTGGGCATCGCAATGGACAAGTTTTGTGTCGTCTAGGCCCATGTTGGTGCCCAACTTGTCGTCATGAAGGAGCGGTCACCAGTCGACTTTGAAAGCTGAACTAAGAGGTGTGCTTTTGCGGGTTATGATGCAGCGACGAACCCCGTCGCGCGCGATCTTGTATGACATGACCAAGGCCCACCGACTTATGTTGATTGCTTGTCTGGATATCTCCCTGCGTAATCGAAAGTCCGGTGTGGTATGAATTTGGTTATGAATATGTGAGGAGAAGACGTCAGATGTTGAGCCGGGACAGGGAAAGAAAGTAAAAAGGCGGGGGCTCTCACGGGCATTGGCGGACAATGAGATGCAGCTACAAGTAGACAGGTAGGAGCGACTTGGAGTATGCATATCCTTCATCTTCCCTCCCCAAGATCTCCCCAAGTCGGGTTTTTTCAATTCCTACATCACTCGATTCAGATTATCGTTTGAGGCAAGCAAGACCCCTATATTTGCAGTCGCCCTTGTCGTCCTCGTCCTGCTTAGTGCTAAACCGGCCAATCCCCGCCCCTACTGCTGACGTCTGTAGCTGTGGTCTCCAAAGAAACAACAAATCAGGCAAATTTCACAGAATCTCTGTCAATCGCTCTTTCTCTCACAGAGAAGAAGACCTGGAGGACGCAAGTCGAAGGTCGGGTGAGGTGAGTTTAAGTGGAGCACTTTTGTCAACTTAGGTACCACAAGAGCAGCCCTCTTTCTTCAGCTTCACGTCTCAGCTGCTTTCCCGCGCTTCTTCTGTTTTTTTTTCTTCCCTTCCCTTACCACTCCACAACTTTTCACATTTCTCTTTCCGTGCGCTCCATAAATTCTTTTATCAAAACAAATCCATTGTAACACCACCACGGCTGCTCAAGTGACGCTGAACCCAGCATCAGGTTCTCAGCATCTTGCTTCGCGCTTTAACGACTTTGCTTCGGTCAACAAATTTCAGAGGCAAGCCATGGATGGAGACGAAAACGTAAGTAGAGCCTCTTCACATCCAGTTTCTCTGGTCCCTTTCCGCTGACATCGCCGACACAGACAACCCAGGCCATGGAGCCAAGCGAGCCTAGAGAACTTGTCGCCTTTCCTGACAGCCACTTCGCGCAAGAAATTCAGAGAATCAAGAACAATCTGGCCACATCTGGCTTCAAACACTTCAACCTGTCTGGACTTTCCGCTGGATTCGACTGCTTCGAGGTGGTCAAAGCAGTACATGATCATGCGGCGACCAAGAACTTGAAATCCTTTCTCATCGTGCCCTCTTACACAGAGGCAGTTGCCATCAAGAACAGAGGATTTTTTAACGTCTTGACCATGGAAGTGGCATCCCATTTAAAAAAGACTGATCGATTCAAAGACCTCATTGGAAGCAGAGCAGTGCTCTTTGTCAAGCTGGATGGAAGCCGAACCATTGCGTCTGACGTGGTTGGATGTTTCATTCAGAGGCTTGTCAAGGAGAGCGCCAAAGATAACTATGCCTGGAATCTGGTCGTCATGTCATCATTCTTCACACCCTCGCCTCCTCCCTTTGGAAATCTGAGTGAGCCCGACATGAACCTGGGCTTGTCGTTTCAGCGCTGTCTCGAGCTTGAATCGTCGCAGCCCCCCGTCTCAATGGAGGCCTTGGGCCAACATGAAGGCTGGAACGACAGGATGGAACGGCTGGTCAATGAGGTCTTCCGCAAGAATCGAAGCGGCTTCATCGTTTGTTTCGTGCCCCGCCACCTTGTCCGGATGGCGCTCGAATTCGTCCCATCCAAGGTCATCTTGAGTGCTTTCGACCTCTATGTGGATCACGATAGCTGGATCGACCCTCGTGGCAAGCAGCAGATTCTCATGTTGGATCCGTACAATATCCACTCCAACTTCGTCTGGAACATTCCCAATGTCACTGATGTCCTCACGACGGGCACCAAGCGTGGCTTCTTCTTCGACCAGAAACTGGGACGGGTTGTCGAAAGGACCGTACCGCTATCGCGACGCGAACTCTATCAGCAGATGGCCATTTGTCGCCAGTCTCAATACGATGCGACTTTGCACTGTGACTTCGACTTTCTCGCAGCCCTACAGGAGCGACCGTGGGAGCCGGCGCCCCAAACGGACGACTCTTCGATGTTCGATTTCTTGAACATCAAGAATTGGCCCGATCTACCTCCTTCAGCGGATAATCAATCCATTCAGGCACAGCGAGCTACTACTATGAAGCGCTTCAAAACGCTCGGATGCATTGAAGACGGCGACGAGGAAGGCACCTATCGCTTGACTGCCGACCTCGGAATCATGATGCGCGAGAACTTGCATTGCTTCCCTGAACTCAGCATCAATGCAGCCTGCATGATCGCAGCTCTGCAGTTCCAAGATGCATCTCCTCACGCCTACAGAACCGTCCTCCTCTTGGCAGCCATCATGTCCGTCGGCCTCGTCAGCACCGACAGTCCAATGATTAGATGGCATGACGGGGAGCCACCCGAGTTTCTATATGGTGGCCCGCAGAGGACTCTGGGAGACATGCTCTGTGGCTCTGCCAGCGGTCTATTTCACCGCGGAGCTCCTTGGTTGGCACTGGGTGTCTGGGAGACGTACCGAGTCGAGTCCGACGACTTCACGACCTCCGGGCTCGTGTTCAGAGACACCGGCGAGAACTGGCAACCTGTTGCCGATGGCACCTTCATGATCGACGTTCTCCGCGCCAGGCAGGTTGCAGAGCTGGTTGAGAGAATGCGCAACCTCTTCGGTGGCGACTTCCCGGACGTCCGACATGACGAAAGCTCCCCGCCGCTCGAAGACTGGGAATTCGAAATCGTCGAGGAGTGCCTGATTCACGGATGGCTGAGCAACATGTTGGTCTGGCCTGAGAACACCCGAAGATTCTTCGACGCGACCACCGAGGAGGCTGCAGACCTCAATTGCGACTTCGGCCCCGACCTTGACCACATTGAGAAGAGTTTGAGCCAGGACGGCAACACAGAGTCGCATAACTTCATCCTATACCACCACTTGGCCGATCAGGATGGTGTCAAGGCCGCTTTCGGGTTTGTTGTTGGCCTGGAGACGCTGCAGAGAGTGATGGGCAGGTTGGTATCCGACCACGACGGGGAGGATGAGGGCTAGAAGGGTTGGGGAATTCCTTGTCGAGACGCACGGGATTGCAACGGATGATGTGGTGGCCTGCAAATGGAGGAGGTGAGGATCAGGATTGGCAGATTTTGCATCAAGACGTTTGGAGTTGCTACGGAGGGTAAAATGGCAATTGGGAAAAATCGATGGTCAGTGTACGATAGGAAATCAAAAGCAATCATGGTTGGGATCTTCGCTTTTTTAGTTGCAGACCGGCAACTGCTTTTCTTGCTGAGTCCAAGTTGTCCCTTATCGTCACAACACTCGACGGCACGAGCTTTTTCTGTCCCTGCGAGAGAGCGAAACGACTGAATTGAACAAAGTTCAATTGACAAGGTGCTAATGACGCTAACTCTGAGCTAGATTCAATGTTGGCAGCGCTCTGGGATATTCGCAGGGTTTCTGCGGTCGAAGCTAGCCGCGTGAAAGGATACGTACAGGGAAAGCCACGCGTGAAATCATCCCGTCTCTCATCCTTCCTTCCATTGGGCCTGCCTTCTGGAATCCCGCGACCGTTGTGCCCATGCCCGACCCACTATTTCGGAGATTCTGACGCTAACCGTATATGGATTAGAGTAGGCCTGTGTCACCATCAAGCTTGATCCCCTGCGTGGATCCGTCATCTCATCACCCAGCATCCTTGCGTTGCCGCAAGTGGAAACTCTGATCAGATTCTCTAGCTCCCACTTTTCTCTTGCACAGTGATCATGCTGACTCCCGTTGCGAGCCTCCTCTCTGGCCCCTTCTTTTCCGATGCTTGCTTTTCACTGAAATCGAGCACCGACGCCCCGGAGAACTTTGTCACAGGATCGGGTCTCACCACCGGTGTTATGGCCGGAGGTACCGGCGAAGGCCTGGTCGACATGGTCTATGGCGGCAGCGACTCTGTCACTGCGGCGGTTCGCATCATTGCCAGAGGCAGCATGAAGATTGTAGAAAGGATTCGGGGTTCCGTCCGAAAGGAACATGTTAAGTCGCGCGCCGGCTTGAGCCTGCATCTGCTGCGGATTGAGCTCGCGAACCGGGGCGTCGCTGTGCGAAGAGGAGACCGTCAACTACCTTAGGATAGACTAGTAGAAGAAAGGAAAGCCGCTCATTATGTTGAGATGGAAAAAAAAAGTGCAAGGTCAACAGCCATGAAAGCCTGACCCTGAATGACAGAACGTACGTGCTAGATGAACCCTGGATAGGCGTTTGAGATGCCATCCTGGTGAGGTACAATGCAATGATGATTTATTCGGGTGATAGACGGTGAATAGAAAGCATCCAGGCAAACAAGGAGGATAGAAGTGATATATATCCAAGTTGTGATATATCTGGGGTGAGCTGAAGAGGTCGAGATGGGGCCCTGAAGAGTTGGGAACCTATCGAGTAAAAGGCGGATGGAGGAAATTAGAAATCGTCAAGCGCAAGATCACAGCTTGGCGAGAAGAAAGAATTTTGTGCACAAGAGTGTGTCGGGACTGCTTGCCCTTTTATCCATTTCAGACAGCAGACACATTAACGAGCAGGATTCTCGGTGTTGGGAAGAATTCAAACGTCGAATGGAGAAGAGGCCGGGAGGTTGTGCGGCAATGGTGAGAGGGCCCAGGGACGTCAAGTGCCAGGGCCACCCCAGACACAGACCAGACCCAGAGACGGCAAGACCCAGGGCCAACCCAGACGCAGACCAGACTCAGAGACCCCAGACACAGACCAGACTCAGACAAGACAGCTGGGTTGGACAGGCCACCGGGACCTTACCATTGCCTGGGTCGCGGAAGCAAATTGGATCTAAGATTGGAACGGCGGTGACCTTGGCATGGCCAGCGCAAAAAGCAACAAGACGATCCTCCCACTTGTCCACCGGGGAGGGACTCAGGGAAATGGTCGGAGCCTAGACCGAAGTATAGCTAAGTAGAGGAAGTATATTCAAGGTATTGTCTCTGCGTTGTCTGCAAGTCGTGATACCACACGGTACGTTGAGCGAAGTCGCGCCCATTGTTGGAGTAAGCTCTGCACCGCAGCATGACAGCCGTGCGACGTGGGAAGGGGATTCAACTGCGCGGAATGACGGTCGTGGGGCCCAAAAGCCCTGTACCTGATCCAAGGGTACCCCTCCGATAACCTTCAGTGGACTCTCTCCATACCTTAGAAGCGTGGTCGAGGGATACCCCTGAAGGTAGGTATGTGTGCTGATTTGGAGAACACCACGACCGGTAAACGTTCGTCAGCTTGTGCCCATCACCGTCCTGCCGGTTTATCTTGCAACCGATATTTGACAGGATCATCGCTTTAGTGATATGTTCTTGTAGCGAACCGCTCTCTATATTATTATTTTAATGTGCGTCTAACTAGTTGCTGCGAATGGCATTCCAGAATTCACCACAGACTGCCGTTCGTCCATGCGTCGTGATGGGCAAAAAGTACAGGCTGGCTAGACCTGGTCGCTTGTTCCCCCCAACAAAGGCGACAAGAAAACGAGAAGGGGTAGCGAGCAAGCGCTACGTCTACGTACGGATACCGAGTGTTGCGTGGAGCATCCACCACGGCCGGTGGCTTCAACGGACCCCCAGTCGTTGTCGACATTAACAGAGCAGGGATGGCCATCTTGCCATGTCTTGGGCGTGGGTCCACTAATGCACCATCTGTTCTCGAGTTCGACGTGAGCAGCGGGCCAGTGGGTTAGAGTTGTTGGAGGTCACATTGACACACGCGGATGTGTTTCCAGAGTGGTACTTCATCTGCATTCCAGGCGTTCTCTGTCTGCTGGGGGCCGAATGTACCGGCCCGTTGAACAAGGCGTGTGGTCATAGCTCCTCGTCCCCATGGCTGAGACATGAACAGGCTGGTGACGCGGGGTCGAGTGGGTTCACAAGTTATTGACTTGAGAACTTGAGGCCGTAGAACCGCTTGTCGGGGGAGAATGGCTTGGAGACGGACCCTAAGAGCGAGCAGCTTCCTGCTCAGACCAGAGCGATGTTGCATCCTGGAACTACGGGCCCAGGTAGGCAACACAACCCACCTAGGTACACTTTGGTCGTACCTGAGGTAGGTACCTCAGGCGAACCATTCGCATCGTTCGCAATTGAGGCGACTCCGGGCCGCACACTCTTGGCCTCAACTCAGCGCGTTCCCATGACAGCAGCTGGGCCGCGCTTCAATATACGCGCAACTAATTATCCCAGGTCGAGATGTTTTACTGAGTCCGAATGTGTGCTTCTTCAAATCGAATTGGCCATCTTTTTTTCGATGCAGAATCAGCGAATAAGATTTGTCGCTCGCCAAGTGAATGTCTTGGGATTGAGTAACCACGTACCTTGTATTCCTAGGTAGTCGGCAGTGACAATATGCGGTATTCGCAGTTTGTCATGACGATGCCAGACAAATTGCGCCTCAGAGAGAGATCAATCCGGTGGGTGATATCTCGACCTGCCTTATCCGTTCCATCGAACACCAAGTATCGCCAGAACCCACATTGCGTCAGAAGTGTGCACACGAAGGAGGAAAGGAACCGACGCTAGACAAGGGATTGCTACTTGGCAGAAGGCTCTGAAGACATAGGCAAGGATCGTGAGCCTGTCCGGTTCTAGTGTCAAAATCTGGACCGTGACGGTCCTGTGACGGCTGGGAGGGACTCGGGGAAAGATGGCGGCGAAAGTCCCACGACGTGGGAAGGGGATCCAACTGCCCGGCATGATAATCGTGGGGCCTGAAAGCCCTGTACTTGAACCAGGGGTACCCCCAGGACAACCTTCGGTAAACTACCTACCTAGGTACCTTAGGTCCCTCTCCATACAAGCGCGGTCAAGGGAGACCCCCTGTCAATCGGGATGTTCGAAAGGTGCCGTCACCTCCCCTAACCAAATTCAGCACCTCGCCTCCTCCGGCAGCCCGCAACTGGTTTCTTGCCGACACTGATACGCCTTGAGGACATTGAAGCACCTATCTGACGGCAATAATAGGCTCGCAACTTGCCGTCGCATTGCCGCACTCTGGTTTGTTCGCACTTCATCTATGTTCTTCATATTCAAATCTACCATGCAGTGACAGCAAGTCATCATTGATGATCGATACTCAGCTGATGCAGTTGCAGGCAAAGGCGTCATTTGATCTCGTTACATTCTGCGACGGGCATCTCAAACCCTTTCATCTCCAGGCCGGTAACGGCATGGATGTAGAATACCGAATGTGTGGAATTACAACCGATGTTGACCAGCTTAAATTGGCAAACCCCAGTACTACAAACCCGAAAAAACAAAAAGCGCCCTTACTCAACCAGCACAGGAGCATGAAATACTTGAGGGCATCGTCTCCCAATTATACATCATTTACGACGAATTTTGAGATATATTAGTGTGCCTGTGAAGAAGACGAGCGGTCACTAAAAAACCTCATCAACGACGTTTCTGGCGGCCTTAGCCTCGAGCGTCCAATGGCTACCGTCGTTCTTCTTGCTCGATGTTCGTGGCAGTACGTTCTTCTTGTCGTTCGACTTGAGATTCTTTCGAAAGCCGGTGTATCGCTACCTGCCGATGCCGACACGTGCGGTACACACATCTATCCAGTCTCTCCAGCCTGTCATCAGCGTACCTAGCTGTGGATAACCCGGCGCCTTTTCAGTCCTCTCGGCTCCGGGTTCAAATACGTACAGCCGGCACTTTATTCTGGGCCTGCTCCGCATTCCCGAATTGAACGGTACATGTCTTTGAGGGCATCTGTTTGGCGGTATGAGTACGTACCGCTGCTTGTGCGGGCCGCGGGTGCTGGCGCGGGTGACTTCGAGCTGGATGACCCGTCAAGCGTCAAGCACTCGCTTTTGCAACCTGTGCCCGACCAAACCCATCGGGAACTTGGGGGGTCCCGGAAGCGCGCCACGCAGGCTTATGTGAACGAGTGATCAGGGCATCAGTGCCACTTCACAGGCCGACCCCTGTTCAGACCTCATCGCCGGCCAATCAGGTGTACTTCTTTTCTCTCCCTCTTGCTTGGCACCACAGGAGTGAGATCCAAAAGGCCTGGTTGATGGAGGCGGCACCCCGAACATCACAAGCTCCCTCCGCACACAACTCCAGTCACATCATAGAATGCATAGCTCGAATGGAATGTCTTTATGAAGGTAAGGCAACCTGTTTTTGCCCCCTAAGTTTGCCTGCTTAAGCTGATTGTGCTTAAGCTTGTATCTCCTTTCGACTCGATTGCCACCAAAAGTCAACTTCTACTCCAAGCGGTCGCCTTCGTTTTCATGATCACTAACCGCCCTTGGTAGTTTAGCCATCTTGCCCGTATTTATATTGTAGCAACCGATGGATCTGATACTTTGAGCATGATGGCTTCTCAGCGACCCTTTCAAGGTTCAATAACCACGTACGCCCCTTCATTCTCTTTATACCTTACTTTCCATCCACGCGATAATTTCATCATTGCGACTTGCATCAACTTGACATTTGGCTGGGCGTAGTGACGACGCATCAGTTCTGGTAACAAGTACCACTGAGGTACAGACGCAAGCTCGAATGCGACTGGATCAATTCCACAGGGATCGTGATCTCGAGCCATTAGGAACGGGCAAAGACCCACAAAGCCGGGCCGTTAGAGTGAAAGCCGTCTTTGATCAAGTCAACCAAAGCTTCGCAAAAATAAAGGAGAGCCCCAACACGACAGCTCATTCGCCTGGAAAGCTTAGTGCCATTGGCTCTCAGTTCTGACTGTAGGACTGAGTGTGACGGCGCCATGGTAAGGTTGTCAGTTCAGATGACAGGGACCACCCCCGGGTTTTTTCGTCCCCTCGCACGCCCCCGCACCCCTGTCTCCCGCTCTAAACTCAGATCCCTGTATTCTTCTGGCGCCATCCTTCCCCGAGTCTACCACCCCTTGCCTACCTACTTTGCCTACTCCGGTCGTGTCGGTCTGTCGGGTACGTACCGAGTCGTCTCGCTGCACGAGGGTGGGTTGGCTGAGCATTGACGGACATCGACTGCATGGCGAGAGATGCAGTAAGTGCCTATCATCACCTCCTCTTGCTCTTAGCGAATTATCAACAAGTATTCTGCTCCAGATCCGTCATATAGATTTGTCCTTGAAATTTATCTTCTGGATTCGAAACGATACGTTGTGATTGGTGCTGTCGAGGCTCTTTGGACGGCCGCTGCCGAGAGCGAACGAGAGAGCTGGGCGACTTCGTGTGGTTGGTGTTGGAATTGTCACACTTCGCATGGGATCCATGGCGACGGGGCACCGACGACACGGAACCGACGATATTCCACGATGAAATGTTACTACACGAGCGTCTCTATATAGATTCGATCTGCATTCCGTTTCTAATACTTTTTCCGTGCACTCTTGCTATGCGCTCTGTATATAATGCGAGTGTTCATGTGTGCTACCGCAGCGCACTCTTCGCTAACTAGCATGCTGCCTCAGTCGCGGATTGATACATCTTCGAACATCTCCAAATATCATGATAAAGTAGCATATATGGGTGACAATATCAGCTGAATGCCATTTTGCCGGGGCCCGCCGACCGGGAGGCCGGTAGTGTGGACTACTTCTGCCGTAGACCGGTGCGAACCTATCGAATTGACACCAGATATACGTCTGCTACTCCCGATTATATTCAGATTATGCGACCAACGTCCATTCTTTGCTAGTCACTCGTGGTTCCTGTTCAATCCGGTGGCACATAAACGTGCCGCCACGCAGTTGACCCGGGTCGAGTCTCTCAGCAAGCCCATGGATGTTGCATGCGTTTGAGCGTGTATCAGGCTTGAGTCGCACCGATACCCGCACCACCCACCCTCATTCTCTGCTGAGTAACACTTGGTACGGTTTTCTGTTGTAAAATCACACTTACGGAGACTTGTTTGGCCCGTTCCTGCCCAGTATCTTGTACTCGGGTAACGCAGCCATCGCGGCCTCTGCCGAAGCCGTCGCACAAACTACCCCTATTAGTGCCTTGAACGGATCGACTCTCGTCCAATACCTTGCCCGACATGGAAGTTTAGTCCAGGACAATGTTCCGTTTGAACCAAATCGATGGGCATTGTCCAATCATCCAAGAAATGCCCCATCAAGATGCGCATAAGCCAGGCATGATTTCGGTGTCACGTTTTCGTCCGTCAGGTGAGTTGAAGATATCTACAAGACATCAAGTACCCAATTGCGAAGGGACACATCGATAATGCGCGAATAAAGACGACCAATGCTTTCAGAGAAGCCTCATCCTTCCTCGTGCGGTAAAACTTCCCCCCAAATTTGAAATGCGCTGACAACATTTGGTTGCGAAGGATCTTGATGGCGTTTCGGACGTATATGAATCTGGGAGTGACATGGCAGACCTGAATGCCCGAAAATATCGCGGCCTAACGTGGTTACATGAAGAGCTTGTCGCACTGCGTGTCAACGGACGTGTCATTCGTAGCACAATAAGGGTCAGCTACTGAGACATGCCGCTGAGCCTGGCACCTAAACACATTTGACAGCTTTTAAAGGAGATGGCTGATACATAACCAGGTGACCACCTCAAGTATGAAGGAGTGGTAATAGACATTCATAAATTCTCGAGAGCATGGTTGATATAGGTTAGGCGACAGTCTTTGGTATCGATACATATATGATAGGCGATGCTGTGCTGGGGAGACGTATTACACCCTCATTTCCAGTGAAGAGTAAGACATCGATAACATTAACTTGCGGTCATGGCCATAATAATTTTATCATCAATACTTCGTGATTCTGCTAATTATCAAACATATTCACAAGCAGCACTGACCCTCCCTACATCTAATGGATTGACCCACAGTCGATCAAACAATGTAAAAAGACTTATTGCAATCGAAAGACAGTCACCTAATTCAAGTCGTGAAACATGATCCCCGCCGATGGAAAGCTCAATATCTATAATGACCTCGTTCAGTCAGTCCATGAGTGGGATAATCTCGGTGACGAAGCTTACACGTCATTAGAATCAAAACTCAAAGCTATCTTGGAGTATCCTGAAATTGGCCACCGATGCCTTCGAGACAAATTGGAAGAGACGCAGTAGACGAGTCGTTTCCAGTGCGCTCAGTTTCGCTGGTCTGACTTGGAAGGAGCTGTTCAATACTGCCGAGCACCGCTTGTATGTGATGTTGTCTCTTCTCAGTCCTTACGACGGTGTTCTCTCCGAGAGCCGGGCCATGTGATTCTTGATACGACATGAAGTCATCCAAAGGCGTGGGAGCACAATCTGCTGGTAGTCCAGAAGGGGCAGGACGAGCAGAGGGGTCTTGGCTGGTGGACGCAAATCGCTATCAGTCAAGAACATCCCTCAGACTATCATCATGAAGAATGGGACGAAGAACCTCCGCAGAGCTAAGACTGGGATGTGCGTAAAGTGAAAGAGAATGTATGAACCTACGAGATCGCCGACCCCTGCATAGCAGTGGTTGAGGCCATGGCGTGCGAAGGCTTGAGACGCAAGCCCGCGTGAGGTAGATTGGAGGTTACGAATGAGAAAGAGACAGAGTTCTGGGTGGAAGTCAAGATGAGACTGGGGGTGAAGAAGAAAGACAAAAGTTGAACCTGCGTCAAGTCTGGTCTTGGTAGCCGCTGGCGGGTCACTTAGTATTCGTAGATGATGATTGCAGCATGGCACGGTCTGGGAGACCGCGATCATGGAATTTCATCTTGGGCAGTCTCATTTTATATGAAAAATATCAGCTTGTACCGCGAGAATGACGAGGAGGATGGGCGTCTGAATGATCTCGAGCTTTCTGTTTTGTGTACGAGGAGAAGAGGGTGTGGTAGACCAGTCTGGGGGGCGTGTGTGTGGGAGGTCAGTCCAGGGGGCGTGGGAGAGAGGTAGTCTAGGGGGCGTGGGACTCAGTCTGTGCCCGGGCGTGTGTGAGAGACCAGGCTGGGGGGCTTGGTGTTCATGATGGAACTTGAAGGGGAACAAGGAGAGTGGACTTTGCTAGCAGCGGCCCGGAGCTACGGAAGTTGCTGCACAGAATCCTAGGTATTGCAAGGTACCTCCCTTGGGTAGTTCCTTAGGTGCCTACCTAGGTACCTTAGGTAAGGTAGGTACGTAGGCAAGGTGCCTAGGACAGAACAGGGCCCGTAGCTGGCTGGCTCTAGCGTGCGAGGACACCGAACCTGGACCTAGGTACCTTAGATACGGTACCTAACTTAGGCCACTCCACTCTGGAATTTTGGAAGGAAGACACAGACTAAAAGTGTCTGAGAGGGGGGGGGACTGCTAGTGGGGGACAGCGACTGGGATTTGCATCTGGCCCAGCTCTCCTCTCCCAGCCGAGGTACAATAGACAGCAACCTGGAAGGTACAGATAAACCTACCTACCTAGGTAAGGTACCTAAGGTAAGGTATGGGAAAGGACCAAGCTCTCCTCTCTCAGCACCAGCAATGGCAGCAGCCAAACTGCACCTCATCAGCGCCGGTAGCTTTTTCAGCGCACCCTTAGGTGACAAACCCCCCTCCCTCCCCCCCGGCAAGACAGCAAGGCCCCGGGCACTAAACCAGGCCCCTTCCCGTCATGTTCTCCAGATGGGGGGGGGGGGGAGGCGGTGATGGACAGCAAGTACTCGCAGCAAGCGGTCTTCGTACTTCACACACCTACGTGAGGTCTGGATGAGCCACACAGCGTACAGTGCCAGCTTGTTGTCGCAAACACTGCCAGTGGAAAGCTGCGTGGTGAGTCTTCGGTCCAAAACCACTTTACTCGCAGCAGCAGCCTCCCAACGACGCGGTCGTAAAACAGCTGGAACAAAATGTGCTTGGCCATCAATTCACAGCACATATACAAATCAGCCAATCACTACAATCTGGGGGCTTTTCTTCGCTTATAGATCACTCATTGTCTTTCGCGAGGGCCATTACATCGGTAGACACATCAACTTCATCACGAAGTGACATTGTGGCTAGCACAGGGCAGGTTTCGATCTGAGCTTATTCAGAGATAGTAGACTGTTGTTGTGCTTTACGGATACAGGCGGTGGCTGTTTTGCATCGCAGAATGCCCCGTATTCTTTCGCAGATGATCTTTGCAGAAGCATTCCTACAGCCGGATGCCCCCAACCTGTTTGGTCTAGGAGGCCAAGCGATCCGATTTTATGTCGTAGCTCATTTCCACACACCCCCTCCAGATCTTCGCTCTCGTCGACTGCGGTCGCCATCCTCGTCCACAATCGTCCCATCCTTGTTCGCCGTCTTTCGCACTTGCAGGGGAACAGCTCCTCACCTCAGTCAAGGCTTGGGGGAAAGGGGGGTGGGCTTTGGAGAACACACACTCCGAGCAAGGAGCGCACGCTAGTGTGAGAGATCTGATAGCCCCCCCATTGTCATGCCTCCCACGCCCACTCCCACTTCACCTCCCCTTCAGTGATCCTCAGGTGTTTCTGGCTTGAGTGCAAGGCACGAGAACCTTGCTGCAGGACAGGACAGGGGTGTCAGGCTCTAGCTTGTGAGGACACGCAATCTGGGCCTAGCCAGACGGTTGACAAAAGAAACCGTACACGTAAAAGTTGGGGTTATGTCTGCGCGAATTCCTTAGCAAAAGGTACTGATCTAGTTATGATCAACCACGGCTAAGGCAGGTATTTCCCTCTAAAACTCAGCTCAAGGTGTCGGGCTTTTTTTTTTTTTTTTTTTTTTTTTTTTTTTTTTTTTTTTTTTGTTGTCACTCGCTTGCCAGTTTGGGGATTTTGGAAGCATAGCCGCGGACACCAGACGGAACTGCCAGCCGCTGTCTTCGAGAAGTTTGTCAGTGTGTAGCTGCTCGTCTCGCCCCGTTGGGTGACAGACAGCGCGTGGGGTTCCCCGCACCAAACGCCAAAAGCACCACCCCTGTGATCCGGACAGTCCTGGCTCGATGTCGTAGCGAGTGCATCTGCGTCACCCGGCCTGCTGGAACCAGGACTGGCACCGAGTGTACCGGGCTTCGTCTCACTCGGGGTGCAAAGTTCGACTTGACTACGAAGTTGTAGAGGTATTCGGACTTCGAACGAGCAACCCAGCTTTCGTTGAGGCATCGTGATTTAGTCGTTCATACGCCCCACGCGCTGATGGCATGTGGCATTCCGCCGTAACTACTATACCCAGCCTGATTGACTCGGCCGTGGCTGTTAAAGGAAGCACGGACATGAAACTACCTTAGCCAACAATGAAGAAAGAAGGCAACAGTGACGCAGACTGCCGTGGTACAAGTATTCGGTACCGTACCAGTGCCATGCGCATCCCTTCACTCCCACGCTTCAGGCCCCGTGTCCCTCCCAAATAACCGCTCTACCAACGCGGGACATGTACCGGTACTCCCACGGCTGTCGTCTCCTCCGTCTCAGCCAAATCCACTTAAGGTTCCCATCTCCCGGCCGTGTCGGTCTGCCAGGTACGTGCCGAGTCGTCTCGCAGTGCTGTGTGGGTGGAAGGGTTGTCAGAATACGTCAGTCCCCCTCCCCTTTCACTCGGTGCCATCACCGTATAACGCTCTTAGAGCCTCCTGACAACGAATCGCTTGACGACACAGTCGAAGATCTCACGGTGTTCCCCGGCGCAGTGTACCTGAATAGGCTGCTGCGGCCCACAACGCAACCATCCGACCAAGCCACACAGTGTGGATGGCGTTCGCCCTGGGGGCCCACAGGTGGCGGATGGGGGTTTCCTCTTTTTTGAGTGAGCAAACCCGAGCGGCTCCACGAGCGTCCCGGGAGGTGATCGCAGATTTGATGAGGGACGATCGCTCCAACGGGTATCTCATTCTGACGGACGTAGTGGAATTAGCGTCTGGTCAAACTGGTCTCCGATCGTGATGACTCTCCTGCCTCGGGACGCTTTTTGAAATGTCGTTTGAAGTCCTCCTGGCCAATAATCTCATTTCAAGCATGCTGTGCGCCCTGGTCTGTCCAAAGAAGATTTCCATGTTCAAGCCCAGGGACATTTCTGCAAGCGGGGAGCAAAAACTTCATCATGTATCGTTCTATCCGCCGCATAGATGCTCCACCAAAGTATTTTGTCAACGTGAGATATCGGTCCCGTGCTGCCAGGACAGTGGTAGCCAGCCCGAGTTACCCGCCACACCCACCTCCTCCTTTGACAAGAATGTACCTCAGGTCAGTTACCTCCGGTACCCGAAGCGAAAAGTCTCAGGTCCGGGCGAGTTCCGTCTTTCCCCCCTCTTGACTGATAGTATCCTGCCCGGCGCCTTCCTTCTTTCATCGCCCCGCCCGTACAGTGTACACGATCAGCCATGGAGAAGCTGCTTCCGTTGCTTTCGCGGCTGACTAGCATTTTTCCGCAATGGTCTTCATGACCCCGGGCTTCACAACAAGGTTGCGAGTTGATCAAACAAGCAGAACATGAGTCGAGTTTGGGTCACCCTCAGACCCTCAAGCTATCTTTTTCAGTTCTTGCCATTGCTACTGACCCTCTCTATGTCAGGCCCTCCTAATGATGGATGGAAACTTGGCTCCAAGCGTCATAGCTTCGCTCCACAATCAGCCAAGACTAATCGCTATAGCGTACCGGTCGAGACTTGGCCATGAAAACCGTTGATTGTGCCTTGGGAAGCCACACTATATCTTCCGCCCACTAGGAATAGTAGGATGCGCAGCCGTTATTGGCGCAAGTGTCGGAACGTGGTCGAATTCTTTTGGCATGTCGTAGATAATCAACGCTAATCTCGTCGCAGGCCTCCTCATGGGCTACTTAACCGTATGCCCACCGGCGGTACGTGGGGAAGGGGTCGGAAAAAGACCCTATCGTGGCAGTTCAACCCATCTGTCAAAATTTTCATTTTTCTTTCCCTCCGATTCTATCTTAAATGCACAATCGATTGCACAGCTTCCTTGTTATGGGTAAGGTGACATATCTGAAGTTGGTGACCGTAGTTGAGCTAAGTCAGCCCCGCCCGTGGCTGCAAAGCTCATCAATGTAACAGCCCGGATAACAAGCATGTGTCTGGAAAGAGGTATGGCAACTGTCAGGATCAAATGCGTTACGGTTTCGGAGCATGTATCTTACCTTGTACTGTCTTGCCGTTTGTTTGTGTACCTGAATGTGTAAGTCGGGAGACAAGGTATGGTTGAGATCGCACTAGCGGCCCCCGCATCGGGGCTGTGAAGGAATCCCTGTCGATGATGTGCACTAGTGACACAAGCATTGCCTATTTCAGATAGCTTTCCCACGTTGACTCGCACAGACAAGACGGGATCCTAGTCTCGTTGTAGCCAGATCGGACGACGTGCGACATGTCAATCTGATATTCAGACGAATATCGCGGCGCAGCTTTTGATGATGGCTTCGGATAGCATAGAAGGTGAACCAGCAAGTCTGCAACGCCTTCCGCGCCGCCACTGATGCTTCTTGACTTTCTGACCTTGATGTTTGGCGTAGGTAGTCCAGGCAGCCCGCCCAGGCAGCCGGGTGCGGCCTTTGCGAACCTTCTTTGCGAACCATTTTTTGAGCGAGAGCCGGCACGGGCGAAGAGAAACGTCTTTGCAGCGAAGCTAGCATTGAGATGTAATGGAATGGGTGCCTGAGCCTCGGCGCAAGTCAGGGGGTTTTGCGCTGACATGCGTTCAGTTCTGGTCGGCTTGAGAAACAGCAGAGAAGAGTCACTGGCGACCTCGTCTGCTGTCAATTGCATCGCAATTGCATTCTCATCGTATTGAATCATTTAATTGGTGAGTGAGTGGGTTCATTTTCCACAACCAGAGTGTGTCCGTGGATGGGTTTGTGCAAAAATGACATTCAGGTGTGAACCATGGTTCTGACGGTGTCAAGCGCAAAAAGACAAGAATTCGCCACCTAATGTCGGCGAAAATGCCTGTAGTACTGGGGGCTGCAGATGAGAGTTGGCTCACGTATTAAGATGCATGAAGGAGGCAGTGCAAACATTTTTCTCTATGAACTCGAGGGCATCACTGTGGAGAGGGGAACAACGCAGGACCTCATGGCCAAACGGACCATGAAGATTGAGTTCGTGTGACATCTGCACTTCAATCATCCACGAGCCAACGCGTTTGGGTCCTCTAGAATATCACCAAGGCAGATTGACGACGAAAGCCAGCGTCGACGGCTTCTCAATGACCTAGAGACTGCCCTATTCAAAAGGTGGGAAGCAGCAGGCGGGAAGCTGCACTGACGGGCCGGTCGAGGATGAGAAGAGTGCCGCACGTGATCCTGAACGGAAAACACACACATTGGAACCGGTCAAATAAGCGATCTTTTACCGCCTCACTCTTGAGACTCTCTACAGCTCTTGGGGATCATGACGACGATAGAAGGCAAGCTGACAGGATGAAGGTTCATCTCGTGTTTGGCGCCGTTTGGGGTGGCGGCGACCTAGTCCAAAAGCATCAAGACGGTGAGGTCCCCCTATCCACTAGTGGAGGAGCGTACCCAACGTTCAAGTTTTCGCTACACAGCACGCTACACTAGTGTGCTATTCAAGTGCCATCTCTGAGTACCACCCTTGAATGAACCTTTCCTTAGCGGTATGTCTGCTTGCCTGAACGATCCAGACGTTGTACGGATCCCTAAGGAAGTACGTGAGGAGACACCTGCTAGAGGAACAGCAAGCGAGCAAGGACCATTGCCCGTGTGGTGCAGTTTGAAGAGGAATACCTACCTACTCTGCTGCTCCTGCTGGGGGGAGGGACCTAAGGTAGGTACACTGTAAGGTAGGGAGTGGTGGTGGCCCCGCTAGCTGCTGTTGCGTCCCATGGATCTTTCCAGTGTCACTTTTCCCACACGGCTGGGCGTCCACGTCCCCGCTCCGACCTGCGTCCGTCCTTACCTCGGGCAGTCCTTACCTCACCTCATTCTTCGACCTACCACTCGCTGGCGGGGGAGGTGCTATCCAAGCTTCATCGGCACACCCACGTTTGACTTTTCCCAATATATTCTCTCCTAGCACGTTTTTCCCGCACAAAGACGCCCAGCGATTCACATTGCCCTTCAAGATTCTACGACGGCAGCTTCCCGACCTACCGGTCGTACGCCTTCGCGGGATCGCGCTCTTCGGCACTGCCCCCTTCTCGCCCCTCTGACCCAATTTCTTCCTCTCCCACTCTCTGCCCAGTCCACTCTGGCGTCATTTTCCCTACTACAACTCCTTCCTCGCACGCAGACTCCTTCGTCCTCGCCTTCATTCTCTCTCTACTTTCCTTCCGCCCCCTCCCCAGACCTCTGCTCCGGTAATCTTCAATAGAGGCGCCGACCCTCGCTGCCAACGATCATAACGAGGCTGAAATTTGCGAGCAACAACGTCGACTTCTTCCCCAAACCAGAGCACCCTCACCCAGGAGCCATTGTGCGAGAGTTCCAGCCTTACCTAGCCCGCTTACCTAGCTACTCCGTCCCAAGCCCAAACCCAACCCCCCTAGGACTCTGTCCATCTTCAACAGAGGCTCGCTCGACGAAATCAACGAAGTTCAAATCTGCGAGGAATAACGTAGGCTTTGTCCCGGAACCAGAGCAATCATATCCGAGAGCCATTACCCAAGTAGCATAGCTACTTGGCCCCGATCCCAACCTGAGCCTTGATACCCGGTACCCGACATGGGCGACCGCCAATAGACGACATAAACAGCGACAGCGACAGCGACTTGACTTCATTGCCTTTTCCAATCACTTGCCTTGTTGTCATAACGTCAAAGAGACTCGGACACTGCTAGCGGCATTTTGAGCCGGTCACAGTCACGATGGCCGGCAATCAACCCAACACCGACGCGCACTCAACAGCCTGCAACCAGGGCTCCGTATCATCACCGTAAGTCACAACCGCTATCAGGCCCATGGTGTTTCCGCCTTTCCCTGCTCCTGCCATCGCCTCTCTCCACATCCATGGTATTGTCTCGGCTCGGTATCGTTCGTCATCGCTAATCGTCGTCTCCCACAGAGGGGACGATGGCAAAGTCGTGTCGGCGGCGGAAAGATCGTCGAATGCGCAGACAAATCTGCAACGCTACTTAAAAGACGACGGTGACAGACCTGTCGGTGATGAAAAGTCCCGCATCGACATAGGAGCACCAATAGCCAAGGTCGATGCCTTGTTTTCAAGAGCTGGGGCCGGTCAGGCTCACGAGAAGCCTCGCCAAGCAAGCGCCCATGAAGAGGAAACTGTTCGAGCCATTGGAGATCAACTCTCCACCGTGACTCAAGAGCGGCCTAAAAGGCTGTAATTGACCCCGACACTACCAGAGTTCGCAGGCTTGGTCGTCAAGGACACCCATCAATAGCCCCAGCTATCGAGCTCTCGGATTACCTGCAACTGGCTCCTCGTGTTTGCATTTATTTCCAAGGCGAAGTCGGTTACAAATATACACAGGATGGTTCTCTTATCGATGGCCGTCTCCACGGAGAGGGTTTCATCGAGTTTTTGCACGGAGTTTCGGAAAAGCACAGGTGTTGCAAACATTATCGCCACTTACTTTGTTGTTCACGGATAGTGCCCATCGCCTGGCTTCACAGTTTGGTTGATGTCTGAGAAGACTGAAGCCGGAGGTAGCCTCTCGAGACACTCCCTTTTCGGTTGCTGCGAGTCTGAAAGGGTCGACATGCGGCCTCCTCGATCCAGACCTTAGAAGGCATTCGTCTGGCCTTCTGTATGCCAAAGCCAGACAACCGACAACCTGGAGGCACACGACAAACATGAATCGTGGGCCAAAAGGAAAAGCGTTGGCAAGAGAATGAGACCAAGGTTGGAAATACGGTTAACGTTGATGTTCTTGAGACAATTGGCCGGCGACAAGGGTGCATGTTTTATTTGTGCGTGATACGACTGGTTTAGTCAGTCATTCAAAGTTTAGCTTCGACCGTTGTCATAGCTCGCTTGAGTACTTCTGCATACCTCTTGGGCTTTTCTGTATTACGGCGACTTTCCCAGAATGGTAGACTTCCATCTTTCGAATTGGGCATGGGCTTATGAGGCTCGCCGCTGGGAAGCGCAGCAAAAATGGATCTGGATTTACAGCTAGACTTGTGTTTTTAGTCTCATCTAACATAATCATCGCCACCCTTAACTCCTTCTCGTATATCGACTTCCGAACATGGACCCGGGTGTCCGCGCATGACAACGTTAATCAGAGCAATTTCACAAGTGTTTCTTATCACTAAAGGCCATGACTGTCCTCACTGTTATGACTATCGTCCCAGAGGCCGTCTCTCTCAGTTTGACTATCTCCGCTGTCGTCTTCGTCTTCGTCTTCGTGTGGTCAAGTTGTGCGGTGGGGTTACCTTTGAGGTTTTCATTGAGGTTTCCATCGGGATTTACCTCGAGGTTTACCTTGATAACCGTCCAATATTACGAAGAGAGTTCATTCTCCGGTGCGGAGATACAAAATTTTCACAAAGGCCCCCTTTTTTACTTAGCCATGTTGCTTATAAGATGCTCGGCTCCCTCGCCCTCTCAGACTCCTCCTGCTCTGACATGCGACTTCCATCACCATCATCAAACCCCACTATCAACATGGCGAATTCCCAGACCCTTCAGATGTCACCGAGAGACGACGCACACAGCCGGCCTAGGGACCCCAGCAGGAAGAGGCTGAACGAACTATACGGCCGGGTTGTCGACAGGAAGACCGCGGCCATGACGGCTGTACAACAGCAGCTCAAGGACCTCACAGCTTCCCATCTCGAGGGCACATCGGGCCTATCTGGTCGCGATTTTCAGGCACAGTTCAAACGATTTGAGGAGGATATCTACAATTGCGAGGAAGAGCTTTCGTTGGTCTTATTCGGCAAGAACCAACTCATTGGGATCTTCCAGGACGTCGATGAGTGCGGGGGGAATCTTCGCGACAACGACAGGGCACACATTAACCGGCTTGTTGACTGCGTTACACGCACACATGAATTCACGGCGGGGCCCGGAACGAGGGAGGACAACGCGGAGGAGCAAAGATTCAGGCAGCGAGTGATTGAGAGATACGATCCGTGCGGAGGGAAAGAGAAAGATGGTCCTAGGTGCTCAATCTCGGGAGTTCAATGGGGAGTCGTCGCCGCCCACGTTGCCAATTACAACCTGGGTGAGTCAACTGCACGTCATCTCTTTGGCAAGGACACGGGAGAGCATGGGGGTGGCGGCCATCTCGATAGCCCACTTAACGGACTGTTGATGCACCGCGACTTGGAGAAGGCCTGGCGCGCCGGGCGATTTCTCATCGTGTCAGACGATTTCGTCAATGACAACGGGCGCAGGGAGCGTGGACTCAAGGTAGTCGTCCTGGACTTCGAGCTAGAGAAGGAATTCTATGGGTACAGATATGACATATCGACCCACCAGCTGCATAATCGCAGACTTACTTTTCTCAACAACAACCGCCCAAGTAACAAGTACCTGAACTTCACGTACGCGATGACGGTCCTCCGGCGCCAGGTACTCCAGGCGACTCCGAGTACAACACCCCTCGATCGACGGTTCATGCAGAGCGCGGCTCGGAAGGTCTGGGCGTCAACAGATTCGGACTGGGGACAGTCGTTACTGTTCAAGGTAACTCGCCAACTGGGGTTTCTCACCGAGGAGGAGGCCAAACAGTTCTATCACATCAAACAGGCGCCTCTCAAATTACCTGCACTAGAGGACCGGAAGCTGAAGACTGCGGCCATTGAGGTATCATCAATACTGAGAGAACCTGCGCTAAAACATGACACAGAGTTGATGTAGCTTCATTACGACACCCGCTTCTTAGCTACGTTGGAAGATACCATCGAGCCAGTTCTGAATCTCTTGTTGGCCGTCATGTCCAACCGAGACAACAAGTCCGACATATCCATCAGGCCGGAGACCAACCACCGCACCCTTCGTCTCGTCGATACCGTACTTCTCATACGCTCGCTGCGGCTCCTCATAAAACGTCTTGCCGTCGACGTAAACCTTGTCATAGTCCCAGCCAAGCTTGCTGTCGAATGGATGGTACATCTCATGCACGTCCTTCAACAGCTCAACTTGATCCCGCGGCGCGGTATGCACCAGCAAGACATCCACGATGGAAGGATCTTCGTCCGTCTTGAACTTCATGGATCCGCTGTGAGGGTCTGAGCCAGGCGTGAGCTTGATGGTGGGCAACTTCGGGAGGTAGGTTGTCAGCCAGGCGCCGAGAGCGTTGACCCTGTCGCGCTGGGCTTGTTGCGAGATGTCGCCACCGAAGACGACGAGCCGGAATCGGCCGTTCGAGGGAAGTTTGTGGTGGAGTTCCCAGAGGCGTGCATCTGACTGGCGGATGACTTTGTATGAGGGGAACCGTTGACCTAGTTTGCAGTTTGTGGCAAGGGATTGTGTGCTCTTGGCGGTGCTCTTCTTGAGATCGTTGTCGCCTTCGGGATCTTCTTCGGGACTCTTCGCAACGAGGACGGTCGGTTGATAGTTGACGCCGACGCCAGTGGTGAACTAAAACGGTGAGCTTGAACCACGAATATCAGAGAGGTAACGTACCATCCTGCTAGTGTGGAAAGCCTTCTGGAACTCCTCTGATGAAACACCCGTCTCATCCATAATGTCCTTCGCCGGTCGACCAGTAAACAGCTTTGAAAACTTGCCGTCAAAGGCGATAAGGTCCTTTGCGATCTTCTTGCGCTCGAGCTCATACGACGACAGGATCTCACGGGGGATGATGTTCTTGCATACGAGACCAATCTTCCAGCCGAGATTGTAGCTGTCTTGCATGGAAATGTTCATACCCTGGCCAGCTTTCGGAGAGTGAGTGTGAACGGCGTCTGATCTTGTTAGCGGGCGTCTCATGATAGCGAGAATGGGTCGACTGACCTCCAGCGAGGAAAACGCGGTTGAGCTTGCTAAAGTGGTCACCAGTTCTTTGGCCGATCTGGTAGGCCGTCCACCTGGTGACAATCAGCACTTCATCTACATTGAGGACTGCAAGAAATTACCAATCGCAGTAGTGGTACTCTAACTTGTACGGGCTGAAGATCCTCTGAGCAGACTTGAAGATAAAATCGGGAGTGATCTGAGACCTGTCGACCCGACCACCGCCTGCAGAGACCTCCTTCAGCTGGATGTAGAGTCGGACCATCCGGTTCTCGCGGGGAATAATCATGAGGGCGCCGGAGGTGCTGTGGATCATCGTTCGGAATCTGATATCGGCTGTTAAGCGTTAGCTAAATACATCTCAATTCTACTCGAGCCAAACGTACGAAAGTCGGTGATGGGTACGATGTCCATAACGCCCCTACAACATGTCAGCTTCGGATCTCATCCACAAGGCAACATACTCACCAAATAGCATCCGTCGTTTCGCCCTTCATCTCAAAGTCTTTGCCAAGAGTCTTCCTCGTCCACGAGTGGGCACCATCGCAGCCAACAACATACTTTGCCCTCACAATCTCATCCCTTGCCTCGCGACTCTTTGACTTGGCCAAGATGTCGCCCACATCGTCGTCCGCAAGGTTGCTCCTGAAGATGCCATCGCTGAGATTACTCAGCATCTGTGTTGGCGTCGCTTCCTCCTCGGTCAAGTGCCGCAACGTGACGGTCACAGGATGCGCATCCGGGTCTTCGGCCTTGCTCTCGTCAATCTCGAGCGATGTGGGAATGACCATGCGCTCTACGCGCAGAGCTTCCTCGTCTGAGGCGTACGACTCTCGAATCCCATCTAGGAAAAACTGCTCTATGCGACCCTGGTGAAGAACAGACTCGGTGAAGCGGGAGAGCCCTGGAATGGTGTTGACTGCTTGGGCGCTGCGGTAGATTCTACCGTTTTCGTCATTATTCCAGAAGCAGACCTCTGCACGATGTCAGCGTATGTTTCGGAACATTTGTATAAGTGACCCACCTAGCATGCGGTTCGCTTCTTTCCACACGCGCTCTGCAACGCCGAAGCTATCCAAGATCTCGAGAGACCTCACTTGAAAGCTACCACATCAGTTAGACCCAAGTTATATCATGCGCATCAAAGACATCGTACCCATCTGCCTGGCCAGAGTAGATCTTGGCCGTCCGCTTGTCCACGATGCGCGCCTTGACGCCCAGTCTCGCCAACCACAGCGCCAACATCAGCCCTGCAGGGCCAGCGCCGATGATGAGAACATCAACCTCAGACTCTGGCAGCTCCGTCATGTTGGATCAGGGGCAGCTGGAACATCAAGCAGGCAGGAAACAATGCAGTGTAGTCAGGCACCTGGACAAAGACAGTCCAAGCTGAGTTTGAACAAAGAGACAAAGCTCGTCACTTGGGCCGTTTTGAGCCATGCTGGAAAACGGGGAGTCTTAGCTCCCACGAAAGCATGCGTCGTCGGCGTGGCGGGCCGCAGCAAACTGCCGTTTGTTGGGGTAGAGTTTGGGGAAATAAGCGATGAGAAAGCATGACAAAGGGAAGAGGGGCCGAAGTGGAGGGGCAGAATTGGGGAAATTTCCTACTTTGACGACCACGGACGTCATATGATGTGGGGTTTGCTGAAGGTAAATTGATGCAGGGACTAGCGTCGATGTGTAATAACGAGACCCTAAGTGGCAGGACGCATGGCAGAAGCCATGGCAGGGTATGCAGGTCGCCGGTCTGGATGGCATTGGCGAATGACTTGGCCGCTTACATAGCGGCATCTAAGGATTACACTACCGTCCTGCGAGTATCCAGGACGCCGCCTTCGTCCTCAGTCATCCTTCGGATCGGCCCGCTGAGCGGGGATATGTGGTTTTCCCTCGCCAAAGGACCGGCGGATTTATGTATAATTCCGAAAAGTTGTGACGATCTACCGAATAGGATGGATGGTAGATGGCGGTGGCCACTAGGAGTAAAGAGTTCGGGAAGTGCAACCACATTGAGGGCACCATGGACGAGGACGGCGACTGAATGCCAACGCGGGAATAATCATCTAGGTCTTCGGAAAACAATCCCAAGGATTTTAATCATTGCATCTATCGTTAATCTGCACCGCGGCCGAGATCGCGCCGCACTCTCCAGACTCGTGATCCAACAGGGCGTTTCTCATGACCCTGGAGCACTTCGATCCACGGAATGCCGTTGACATCACCAGCCAAGTGAGGGTTCTCGGGCTCCTTATCTGAATCATCACTCTCCGTGTCCTCGTCCATAACCTCCACAGTATCGTCCTTGTCGGCATCATTGCTGCCAAACGACTGATAGTACAAGTCTTCTGTGTAAGCCCAACCAGGCGAATCGAGCTTTCCGTGGATCAGCACTAGTTGATGACCAGCTTCTTTGGCGGCCATGATACGCTCCAACGGAATTGGCGTCAGCATCTGTAGGGCACCCGCTTTTGTGTCGATGCCTCGGAGTAGAACAAGACCGAGAGTTTGCGAGTACCGAGGGTCCAAGGTCTGGGCATCGGAATTTGGGATGTATGGAACACCTTCCGTGGTTCTTGATACCAACTCTTCCAACTTTGCAGATGACTCTGCGTCATCTACGTCCATTTCCTCGCCCTTGATGCTCCCTCTCAGACGGCCGAATGCCTTGGAGTCTACGGTCTCGACCAGACACATTATGGATCCATTAATGGTTTCCGTCAGCAGCTCGGGGGGCGGCTGATATTCGTAACTGATAACACCAAGTATCCCGCGATTTCTCCCCTTATAGTTGACCAACAAGGGCGGTGATGTTGTTAGTGGTGTTGGGTCCCACGTTATCTGGTTCGGCGCCGACCTTCTCGTATGGAAGTAGGCCAAAGCCTGCATTGCCCGCAAGTGCGCTGCTGTTCTGGAAGTAAACTCCGACTGCTGAGAGGGAAGCGTGCTCAAAGTTGCTTTACAAACCGCCCGAAGGCCCTCGACGCTCTCTCTAGGACCGTCTTCCGACATGTAAATGACTTCGGTCGGTTTGAAGCTGGATGCAAGTTCGGTCAAGAGGTCGAGACCCGTTCCCAGAACCCAGCCAGGTGTGTTGATGATCAAGGGCAAGCCTTGACAAGTACTTTGGTAGTGAGAGTATAGATTCAGAGCGCATTCCAGATACAACTCTGGGTCTGATGCTGGAGAGACGGACGCAATGGAGTGACATCTAATAATTGATACAGCTTGCTCATCTGTTGCAACGTGTGTGAATGACGGCCCCAGGTTGGGCTCTCTGATCTGAACCAAGGCTATTGTGCCTGCAGGAGTGTACTCTGGCTGTCCAGGATCGAGGTCGAGGATGGCCACCGAACGAGCGACGCGTCGCTGTCCGGGAGTGGTCAGAAGGCGGTTGCTAAGTATCCGGCCAAACGTCGATTTTCCAGACGATTTCGGACCACAAAGCATAACGCTTAGAGCCGGATCTTGTTTAATCTTTGCGAGACCCGCCAGTTTCTTATTCCATGCAGGAAGGGAGCGCAGGTCTTGGATCAGGGCCCGTTTAGGGGCGTCATCGGCAGTGCAGATCTAATCATGTTAGCATTGCTGCGTAGGAGTCTAGCGTACGAAACTGACAATCTTGTATGTGTCCACGGCAGCCCGTTTCTTGCTCGACTTGGTTTCTTCTGGTTCGTTCCAAAGACTTCTGAAAAGTGGTGAAAGTCGTTCGAGCTTGCGAAGGCTGGCAGCCTGCGGGTGCGGATGGAGCTCCAGGGTCGTCTCATCGGAGCAGCGAACCACCGGTATGCCGTGGCAATGAGGCGCGTGAACCCATTGAATGCCGTCTGTCGGCCGTATGGTAGCTCCAGCAACTGTGACTTCGCCGCTAATGACCTTGATTCCGTAGCTTCCTAGAACCAAGAAGCGCTGGCAAAGTTAGTAATGGCGCGATGCGTCTGGTAGGGGGAACTTGCCTCGCTATCTTTCAAATTCAATTCTAGGATTCCCCCAGCGTGTTTACGCGAGTTGCTTTTGTTTGGCCTAAACGTCGAAAATTGCTGAGGTATTGGCTTTGCAGGTGCCTCAGCGTCCACGCCGCTAGGAATGTCAGCCAGCAGGTTTGGATTTGGAATCATCTACATACCTCGAACCATCGCCAGCTTGACCTTTCGGGCTGCCAGACACTGCAACCTGCTGTTGCAAAGGCTCCTCTGCTCTTTCGGCGTTCCCCGTCCTCTTGGGTGGCCTCGTTCTGGCCGGAGAACGCCCAGGGGTCGGAGTGGATGCCTGGGACTCAGGAGCCGGCTCGGACTGCGGAGCTGGCGACAAAGATGGGCTGGCCGCAAGAAGTTGCTGCCTCAGAGCAAAAGCGCTCATTGCTTTAATGAACGTCAGCGGGAGATGGCGTTGAAAGGGTTTTGTGGTGCTGCTTGGCAATACTCACGTCTAGACCCTTCAGAGGTCTCAAGCTTGCGTCTCTTTGGGGTGGCCATGATGGCTTCAAATGGTTCAACTAAGAAATCACCAAGAACACCAATTTCAGTAGACCACTGTGATGACTCTCTTGTCTACGAGTAAAACGTTGAGGAGGCCTTGTTTGGGTCTTGAGCCGCTCAGTCCCAACCCAGCTGTCTTTCACCGGTAAAGGCAATCACCTGAATTAAAAGGCAAGAGCCCGTCGGGTGAAGGACAGGCAGCTGCTCTTGCAGCCCAGATTTATTTTAGCAATCTACTTTCGCCGACAAAAGGTCAGCTTTCTTTTCTCTTCAACATACTTCGATCTCAACCTTCCTGTCGCAACTCACTCAGATTTTTTGCTCTTGCCCACCACCAAACCCAACACACACAACCAGCACAAGCCACGCTCTCAATCGCAACGATGGGTAGAAAATCGGATGGACACCGCAGTGGAGGTTCGCAGCGCAGAGATCGCACGCCCATCAAGCAGGAAATCAAGCAGGAGATTGTCGATGATGATGGAAAATCCTTTTTGCGCGCCTTCTCTCCAGCGCCGCCCAGCTTCTCGCGCTCCCCAAAGGCGTTCGGCAGTGGATCCGGCGCGCCCACCACTCAGGCGCAGGCGCATCGCCCTGCCACTGCGAACGCCCCGCTGGCCCGTGCCACCCCTACCAGAATTTCTGAAGCCTCTCAAAAAATTCCTGTCGCGCTGAAGTCCAAGTCTCCCATCACGCCCTCGAAAAAGGTCACGTTCGCCCCGCGTCCGATTTTCGAACCCAGCCCTGGCACAATGGCACCGCGCAAGCTCGACGGAGTTCACTCGCTGAACGCGCTGCTCGAGGCAGGCAGCAAGGAACCCGCCCAGACCAAGGGCAAGTTCACCAAGACCGCCAAGCCCAAGGCCGACAAGAAGTTCGACCCTCGTGCAGACGACTCCGACTCCGAATCGTCCAGCGCCGATAGCGATAGCGATGACGAGCCATCCCCAGGCTTTCTGGCTAGCATCAATGGCCATGTATCTCCCAAGAAGTCTGCCGACACTCCCCTGAAGAAGGCCAAGCGTGGCAAGGACGATGAGGTTGCCGATAGCGACGTCGAGCGCACCGCCTCGTCCGCAAAGGCCAATGCTACCAAGAAGAAGCCTACGAGACCCGAGAGCTCCTCTGAAGACGAGTCTTCCTCTGCCGAAGCCGAGGAGCAGTCCGACTCGGATTCCGACTCCAGCGACAGCGATAGCGAGTCCAACAAGAAGCCGGCCCAGAAGGTGCCCGAGAAGGCGAAGGCGGTTGAGAGGGCCGCCAGCAGCAGCTCCTCCGAGTCGGAGAGCGAGTCGGAGAGCGAAGCCGAGGAGACGAGCAAGCCCGCGGCCAAGCCAGCAGCAAAGCCCGCAGCTAAGCCTGCTGTCAATGGCACCAAGTCGACCAAGGCCGCTTCCACCAGCTCCAGCGAAAGCTCGAGCGAAGAGGAGTCTAGCGACAAGGAGTCCAGCAGTGAAGAGGAATCCAGCTCCGATAAGGACGGCAGCTCTGACTCCGACTCCGACGATGAGGCAGAGGAGCCTGCTGCGGTTGTTACTCAACGCACTGGCAAGGAGCTCAGTGTCCCTGGCTTCGTTGGAAAGGACTTCATCCTCAGAAAGGCTCAGGGCGATGAGGACGGAAAGGACATGGTCGACTTCTTCGCCAAGGCCAAGGTCGATGGCAAGCAGCTCTGGTACTTTACCGCTCCTGCTTCCGTCCCAATCAACGTCATCGAGAAGCTTGAGATCCCTATGGATAAGGTCAAGAAGGGGCAGCCAATCTTCAAGCACAACTCGGAGGACTACACTGTCAATCAGGATGATGGAAGCACGTCGATCCAGCTGATCATTCCCAACAAGAAGGGAGCCCGCTATGAACCAGGTACGTTAGGACTATTCAGCTCCGTCGAACTTCACTAACAACATGCAGCTCCTCACAAGGTTGACAACGTCCTCCACTTCAAGCGCGTCACGCAGCTGCCCGGCGGCGACCCCCGTGTGAACACGCGCGCTATCGAGCCGAGCGCCGTCCGCCCCCAACCCCCGAACCTGACCGCGCGATTCCGTCCCATCGGTATCACTGACGATACCCCCATGGGTAACATCGGAGTGGATGCCTCGTCCGACGAGAGCGACGTCGAGATGACCGCGGCCCCGGCAGTGTCCAGCTCCAAGAAGTCCAAGCAGGCTGCCAAGTCGCAAGACGCCATGGACATTGACGAGCCCACTCCCAAGGCCAAGAAGACCTCCAAGAAGGAGAAGAAGTCCAAGACGGCCAGCGAACCCGCCCAAAACTCTCAGTCCACCATCATCGAGGTGCCCAACTCTCAGCCGCTTACCTCCAAGAAGGAGAAGAAGAGCAGCAAGAAGAGACGCGATAGCATCGAGTCGATCTCGAGTGTTGGCTCCAACCCCAAGCCTGAGCCGAAGAAGGCCGCGGCCACCCCCAAGTCGTCGAAGCGCAAGCACTCCTCCGAGGACGACCAGGATTCTGCTTCCGCTCAGCTGGAGCAGGAGACCTTGTCCGCCGAGAAGAAGGCCAAAAAGGCAAAGACAGAGACTGCCATCCTGCCTCCCACCATTCCCAAGGCCGGCTTCTCCTTCTCCAGCCTCGGCAGCCCGGCTCCCACCTCGACTCCTCAGTCGACCAAGTCCAAGAGCTCGAAGAAGACCAAGGAGACCCCTATTCAGCCCCCCAAGCGCCAGTCGATTGTGCCCATTCCCACGCCTGGCGTGAAGATGGCTTCGCCTGCCGCCGCGGAGACGCCCAAGGAGAAGACCAAGCGCAAGTCCAAGTCGGACAAGAAGGAGACGCCCGTTCCCGCGCCCAAGTACTAGAAGGCACCCAAGCCCGGACAGCGTCCCCGGTCCAAGTCCTACTCTGGTCGTTTTCCCCTGTGAATAATGCACATCGGATATTTCAGCAGCGTCAGTCAGCATCCTCTTTTGTCCGGCATTTCCTGGGTATCTTTCTGGGTTTTCGGTGGAAATGGCATGGCCCTATCTGCTCATATCGGCCTCTCACTTGCTTTCTGGGTATTCAGACATGAATATCCTGCGACTTGCTTATACAGTTGTCAGAGTATATACCTCTTTTTTTTCTTGCTTTGGGGCGTTTTAGGTTTCGGAAAAGCAGCAGATGAAGGAGGGAGGTAACGCTCGAGAAGAGCTTTTTGTTAGCTAGGTAGCTTCACAGTCAATGAATGACCAATGATTTAATTGTGGATTGATGATTTTATGGGTGATGGTGAGCAGCAAACATTTGCAGGGACATGACTACGGCGAAGGTAGTCCACTGGAGATGCTTGAAATGACGATGTAAATATGCGTAGGGAAATTTCTGGTTGAGGGAAGCATCCGTAGATGACCTTGATGACCAAAGAACACCACGGGCACAAATGACGCCAGACGAACTAACACAGGAACCTACCGAGAGCGACGACGAGAACGAGAACGATGATCTCTTCAACATGCTCAGTTCGTCTCTACTTTGTCTTTGTGCCTCATTGCTCACTCTGCCCAACATGACATAATTATACCCGCATCCAGATGCACAAAAACCAAAGCATCAAATGCCGGATATCCGCACCAACAGCAACGCAAACCAACAGCCAAATTTCCCTCTTCTCTCTTTTCCCCTTCCCGATCAAGTCAAGCAAGCACCCCCAGCTGGCCTTAACCTTACCTCAGCCTGCCGTACACTCACCGCCTCATCTCCCACCGTATCCATCATCGGCACCCGGCACCGCGGTCGTTGGAAATTAGACATGAAAAGACCCATGTTCCGCCCCGGCCCCGGGCCGCCGAGAAACCATGCCAAGAAATCCCTGTCGGCGCGGGGGGGCCAAGCCACACGGTCGGGATTTTGTCATCACCTCTAGTGCGGCTCTTGTTTTTACGGCTGTTCGTCCTCTGACGGCGGGAGAGCGTCTGTGTGCGATGGGCGTCGATGTGGCGTGGCTGTGCGGGACTATGGATCGCCCGCATCAAGCCACTGGGAGGGATTACCTGGGGAAATTTACCGCATCGACAGCACTCTGTTCAACGTCACTCGATGGTGGGAACTTGTGTTTCGAGAATTTGTCTCGTATTATTTTTGATGTCTTCGTCATCATCAACTACATCAGTAGCGACTGCTCAGATACCTCTACAGGTGGTATGCTCTCCTCTTGTCTCTCCTCCTTCCGCATTACTTCGGGTTCGACTCCCAACTGGCCGGACTCCTGATGGCACCTCCCTCGCGAGAGACCATCTCAACAATGAACACATTATATGTACGGGGGTCTATGTCTCCCAGTTTCCCCATTCCGTGTGCGCCCCAAATCGACTCCTTGGGTCTTCTTCTGCTGGTCGTGATGATGCGGCCGTTACCCTATCCAAGCCTGTCGAGATGCTTTTTGGTCTCCGGCTGTTCTGTCGTTTCCAAAATACCACGATTGCGCCGTTGCTGTGCTGCTGATGCAAATGGTACAGGTAATTCAAAGTGGTATCCGTTTTGAATCGTAAAAGTGCAGATGAGAATGGAAAAGAAAAGTGTAAAAAGAGTTGATCGAGTCCTGCGCTACCTGACAGCGATTTCCTTCAGCTGAGGAATCTCGTATCGGTCTGCGTTGGGCTTGATCTCGATGCTGAAAATGCTGCGGCCGGATTCTTCGGAAAGTGCGGGGCTCAGGCTGCCGCTGCCCCGGCTTGAAGAGCTGTAACTCGAGGTGCTACCAACGGTCCACTCGTCGCTATCGGAGCTGGTACGGCGTTGGAGGTACCCCATGTTGTACATGCGGCCATATTCCTCGTCCCAAATCTTGGTTTGCTCGCCAATCTCGACGTAGTCGTACTCCCAACGGTTCTTCTTGTCGGCCTGCTGCTGAGGCAGGAATCGGGACTTGGCGTAGTAAAAGATGCCGGCGGAGAGGAGGGATCCGCCAACCAGGTCGACGGCGTAGTGGTGGTTGAGGTACATGGTTGCCCACCAGATCCAGCCGACGTACAGGCAAAAGAGAGGGCGGAAGCGGGGGA